TTTCAGATTCATATTTTTGAACTTTAATTGAATTTTATAATTAAATTTGTATATATATAAAGTCAAATATTTTTTATAATTTTAATAAATTAACTATTATTTAATATTTCAAATAATTGTTGCATACTTTTTTTAAAAACGTCATTCTTGAAATTTTTTAATTTTTATATTCTTCTATTACGTTTGTTGTATTTATTAATCGTTTTTTTATATTACATCTTATATAATAATTAAAATAAATTATAATATATTCAATAAATACGTATATTCATCAGTGAATAATATTCACGATTCACACTGATATGTTGTCACAGTACTGACATATTCGATCACAGAACTCCAATCCCGATAACACAAACACTAACTACACATGATATAAGTTATAACTTATAATATTATATAGTTCGGTTTATTTTTATTTATAATGCGTGGAAATTATTGAACGTAAAATCAATTATATCTTATACGAGTATATCTTCAATATAAAATGATGGCTTATCCCGAATATCGATAATTATCGATAATCGATAGAACTGTAGATAAACAAGAGATTCTTAAACGCCATCACAATAATACAAGTAAAAATAGATTTGGCTAAAACGATGATCGCCCAATTTTCAAACATCCCAGCTACGGTTTACAAATTGTAGTTTAAGAAGTATTATAATTTATAATATTATATTATTATATGATTTATTAAATGGTTATACTGATTCCCTTGAATTACTATCTATAATTAATTTTAATACACCCAATCCCTGTTTAAGAAAATCTAAGTTATTTTACTTCCATTTTATAAAAAGAATTATAGTTCCCCATCATCGTTTTTTTCCTATAATTTAATCATTAGCTAAACTTTATACTAATAATATAGATTGTTTTTCATGACACAAATTTTAAAATAAAATGGATATTCAACATTGAATTTAGTTGTTATTTAAAATGTATACTATTACTAAATTAAAATTATGAAATATGTTTATTTATTATTTTATTGCATTCGTATTTTATTATTTATTTTCAGTCACAAAATACTATAACTTAGTATTATTTTTCTTGAGGTTTTAACTGTACTTATCATAAGGTTTTAATTAGGTTTTAATTATTTAAAATATTAATCCATTTACAATAAATAAAAAGAGTTTAATAGTTTGAAATATATCTAATACCAATATTCACCAAAGTAAAATAATAATAATTTGATTTTTGTAATTCTGAAACTATTAATGGATATAAATTATTTAAACTTTTAAGTATTTAAAACATTTATATAGGAAATAAGAAATATAAATTATATTATTTAAATTTCACCTTTATAAATCTATATATTATATTAAATACAAATATTATTTATATAATGGAAACATGTCAATACCTTTTTTCTAAGGTGAAAATTAAAATCTTAATATAACATCAACAGAGAACGTATGGTATATATAATGGCAAAATTATCATAGGGAAAAATTAAGCAGTATCCCAGGACCTCGGGGTCATTGAAAATTTCTGAGACTACAGACTACGGTTAAGTGCAAGAGGCACAGCTTCCAAACTTATTGTTTATTTGTTTATTGACTCTTCTTAAAACAAATATTTTTAAAAAATAGCATCAATGAATAATCGGCTTATAAATAATGAAAGGCACATTAAATATAATTCACAGGCATTTATATATAATCCACAATATAAGATTAACATTGTACCTTTGTTTGCCATTTTATATTCTAAACTTACATATATTCTTTTGTTTCAACACTTTTATTTCATTTTTTTATTTTTACTCTAAGCGAATATCAGATAATTTAATTAATTATTACAGATATGTAACTATTTAATCTCAAACTCAATAAAATACAACGTATTATGTTCATATAACCCAATAATGCAACGTCTGATGAATTTTCTGTGTCATTAAGGCAAACTGTTCGACAGGCAAGTCCACTTTGTATTTTTTTTTTTAATAAAAGTTATTTTCTCCTACTTTCCTTGAAATATTTAACAATATTGATATATTTAACAGTAAATTCCTAAACCATACGAAGTAATTTAGTTACAATCGGTAATAAAGTGGAATAATAATTCACACAATATGCAATATTAGTTTTATAGTAATAAACTCGATATCCTTTTTATTTTGTATGTCTATTAATTATCTATTGATTATTTTCATTTATTGTTTCATAATAATTAAAAAACCAATATGAAGCGTATACTTTGAATTTTCATAAAAAGATAATATTAATTAGGGAACCTAGTGTGCTTACTGCACCGGGGTTCTTTCCTATGTAGCTGCGTCTCTGAGTGTATCCTGCATATATAATATAATAAATAATAAAACATAATAAAAAAATAAAAATGTTTGATTTTATATAAAAAAAATATTTGCAGTTACTATAAATATCTTATACTTAGTAAGGCATTATAAAGGAAAAATTAAAAAAAGATATATGTTATATATATTTTTTTTATTGATTTTTAGAAATTTATTTCAAAAATATAAGTCAATTATAATAATTTAAATGATTAAGGATTAAGATTTACGTTTAGAAACTAATAAAAAAGTTATATTTAGTATAGATAAAAATTAAAATAATAGTTTTTGTTTTCAAGGAAATTAAGTTATTTCTCTAACATTTAATAATACTCTCAAAGGAAAATAATTGAGTAATAAGAATAAAAAATAGCATACAAGGGAAAACAGAATTGTGTCTTATTAGATACTGGTGACAAACATTTTCAAGTATGAAAAATATTCGTTTCTAATATAATATGATTTTTGTTTAAACTTTAAAACTACAATTTATAACTCAAACATTAAATATTATATTAATATTAAAGAAAACGTCTTTGATAATTATAAAATCGTGCCATGTGATGAAATTAATTATAAGCAACTGAATAATTTTTATTATATTTTTCGTAAATTTAAAACTAGTTTTTATTCTATAAATGGAATTCGAAGAGCCCTAAAATCGTATTTTTTTTTTTTATTTTCATTAAATTTGAGATTTGTTCTAATAACTTTTTAGAATTCAATTTTAACACAGTATCATATAAGTACATACATTTATATCATGTTCATATCAATTTATTATAGCATAGAAAACGCCCTAAAAATAAACATACATCGCTTCAGAAAATATGATGTCGTTGTGCTGACATCGTTTTACAAATCGAAATGTCAAAACACCTGGATCATTTTATGATTGTGAAGTGACCGACCCCCCTCTCAATTATTCTTATGAATCTTTAAATGATTAACCTACTTGACAGACATATCTAAATAAGAGCTAACCAGATGATAGTAGGGGAGACCTGCGACCTACGTCTCCCGACGTAGTAGTACTCTACATGCAATAACCGCTAAATAATTATAATGTATCAGACATGATCAGAGAAAGTAAAAAATTCTTCCACCATAAACATATGACCATCAAGGAACACGATAGTTACGTGAAATAAAAAATAAGGGGGGAAAAGCCATACGCGTCATTTAGACTACACAAATTCATGATAACCGGTTTGATTATACATTTTACTAATATTTATTATTACATTAATAAGAAATAACCGTTATGCAATTTAATTCTATAATAATATAAAGTCACTGTTTTAATGGGTCATAATCAAAGAAATCAAAAGTAAAAATTATAAAAAAATTTTCAGAGTTTGGGTATTTGGATCGAGAAATTTGGTATTTTCTTACCTTGTTCAGATAACCTAACTAATCAACCTATTTTAAGAGTTATTGCGATATATTCTCATTTTAAATTTTATATTATAAGTACAGCCAAAAAAATAATTTTTGAAATTTATTGATGAATATAATAATTACTAATTACTATTCTATAATTATACTGCTGATCTGCAATAACTAAAATTTTAAAAGCAATATAGCTAATTCTAGTACGTAATCAAGATAAATTTATCTAATTTATTCATAAAAAGTAAATTAATACATAATAAGTATTTAAATTTTGAGTTCTGAGCATCTTAGTCCTAAACAATACCTATGATATGTTTTATCACAAAACACGAGTAACATCAACAAGTTATCAATAATGATTTTAAATGTTATAAATGACCTAACAACTAACTGGTATAATATATATTGACTCAATGTATGCTCAATGTTCTTAGGTTTTATATTTACTAAAATTAGATAGTATCAAGATGACTAAGTAAAAGGAAACTCTTATATTTATTTCAATATAAGATACAATTGTATTTTATTGAATTAAAATCAATAACACATCGCTAAATAAAATTCTCATTTAAAAAAATACTAAAAAATTAGGTCCTAACAATTTTAATTACCAATTTATTTGTTTGAAATATTTGAATTTTTTTTTTTAATTAGTAATTACAATAATAGTAATTATTATAAACACAATTCATACCTAGTTTATAATTGTATATAAAAAGTATTTTTAGACATACTATTAAATAATTTACTAATAAAGAAGCAAATTTAATTAGAAACATCAATAATCAGATATTTAAAAAATTAAAGACTGTATTACAACTAATAACTATATAACATCAAAATGACCACAAAAATTACATTTAAAGACAAAAAAATTAGAACTGAAACAAAATATTTTATGGGCATTGTAATACTCAATAAAAAGTCTTATAAATTATACATATAACTTAAATTTCATACAAATAATTTAATTCATATCATATAATCTCAAATAAAATATGTCCAAGAGATTAAAAACTGATTAAAAATTAACCATTTCTCATTCAAAAATTGTAATTGAAAGTTTGAATAGTAAATAAATCTTTTATTCCTTTTACACCTATTTAAAGAATAGAGTAAAAATAATTATCTATAAACCATAACATCAACCTAGTTGTAACAAGAATTAAGTCATTAGTAATGATTAGTTATGGACTCTACTCATATTCAAGTAATATATCTATTGTAGATATTTGAACAAGAAAACTAAATGCTATTAAGCGCATTGTAGTACTTAGTTATGAAAAATTGAATTTACCTGTCCTATGTTATTGAATCCATGTTTAGCTGCAATTTGTTCAGCCTGATCAGAGCCTTTTGGTATGTGTACAGCAAATTGGTTCATATAAATTGGACGTTGACGCTGTCCCACGCACAAAGTGACAATGCTTAGACACAACAGGCCAAACCATGGTCTCATTGTACGTATCCGTTCCTAAAAATAGACATAAAATCCAAGCCTAATATTATATTATTATATTGTATAACATTATTTACTAATCAATAATCAGGAAAACTTAAATCATATAAAATTAAAAATTTTTATTTGGGTCACATAAAAAAAAAACATATACATTTTAATGAAATGTTTAAAAATTAACAAAAATTATTTTTAATAACTATGATTTAACTGTTTTTATATGCTTCTAAATATTAAAATATGACAAAAATTAAAATTTTTAATTCCTACACTACTACTACTTTCTCTTCAGTATTTACCTAAATACACAAAATTCAAATATTTCAACAAAATCACATAATATTTTTGTGTTAAAATTTAAAAAAAAATCTTTTTTTCTCGCGCAAATTATAAAAAAATATTAAAATACAAATTTAACAGTTCTAAAAACTTTAGTTTAATGTGGAAGTTAAAATGAATGAGGTATTTTTTAATTCATAGTAAAATATAATAATAAATTGCATTAAGAATAGTTCTTAGTGTAATTATTTAATATTACCTACTCTATTTATTACTAGATCTATTTAATAGATCTTCGTATAATCCTCGTAAAACAGTTGACAGTATCTACTATACAAGTAGGTATATTCATAAATATTTTCTAAATTTATTTTGCGTTAAGGATTAAAAAATTGAAAATATTAACTTTTTTTTTCTCCAACCTGTCAATGAAAATACTATTAGGTACCATAAATTTTACATTTTTCAATTATTTGCTGTGTGGGTACCAACTACTACCAATATAAGAAACTATAATTCATCTTTAAATCATATCTATAATAAAGTAATTCATAACACTATAAACCAAGAAAATATTATATTAGAAATGCTCAACTACACAGATGTCAAATAAACTTACTGATACCAAAAAAGCCAAATCAAGGTAGCATTTCTATCAATCTTAAAAATGTTGGATAACCTTTTTTTGAGAAAGCTTAGTCATATAAAACAAATAAAAAATTATGAATTTACCCTCATTTAAAATTAAAAAAAAAAAAACACAATAATATAAGTAAAAATCCAAGATTGTATAGACCCAAACTATACAAAAACCTATACATACGTTTGTTTGTGAATTTAAAACGAATGCGTTTTAGTGCACTTTACAAAATCCCACTGAACATTATTATGTTTAAATGTTTTTCTAAAACTTTTCTGAGAAGGACTAAATATCGAACGGTTAACTGATAAATACGTTAAATTATAAAAAACAATAATACCGTAAAATTAATATTAACATTAAAACAGAAGAAAGCGATAGTCTAATTTTAATACGAAGTTAGTTGAAAGTAATAAACTATGAAATAATTAAGTAGAATCGAGTAACAACCGAAGGACAAGCACGACGACCGAGGATCAACTGACTGACGGCAAATTGCAACTCGTTTGATAAAAAGAATTGCGAAGTGATAGTGCCGCACGTTTCCAACGATCATATGGGTCAACAGTGCTGCCAGTGTACGACATTTTAATGATAACTATTGTACACCCTATACCAGAGGCGGCCAAACTTTTTTCGGCCAAGATCTACTAAAAATATACTTCACCTTTGAAGATCGACTTTCTTGGAAAATTTTTTTGTAAACCAGAATAAAAGATAAAAACTATACAGATGAATTTTATCGAAAATTTGTTCATAACCATCACGATTAATTTTCGTGCACGTGGCCTAAAAATAAATTCTAACATGATCGACTCAAATCGTCCGCGATCGACCGTTTGGTCGCCCCTGCCCTATACCACATCGTTTTTTTTTTTTATCTTTTAATTTATTATCAGATGACAAACGCTAACACAGGGTTAATTAAGAGTTCAACCCCCCCCCCCACCAAGTATAATTTTTTTATAAAAACAAGACAGACCTTCTAATTCAATAATTATTTCAAAGTTTCCCATGAGACTTGCAAATATTAATAGATATAATAGATTTTCCAAGACATATTTCACCCCCCGGTACAATTATCCCAGGAAAGTTTTACCCCCTGGTAAGAATATCCTAGGATATATAAATTCATAATCATATTTAATGCCAATAATTATTTTTATTGTAAATCAATAAATGTATTAATGCAACTAGTTAAAAATTTAAAAAATTTAAATTAAAATAATTTAACTATAAAATTGATTGTATTTAAAATAGTGATCAAAAATTGATTGAAGAATTAGATAGCATTGATATAACTTTTATAAACGATATAACATAGATAGTTCACATTTTTTAGATTCTGTGTGAAGCTAGGAATGTTTTAGTTTTAGGGTGAAATGTATAAAAAAGCTAACTATATATCGATTTTAAGTAATAACCAGGGTTCGGATTTTATAGCATTTGCTACTTATTATAGGATATAAATAGAGATAGCAGAGTGAGTTATTAATTCGTGTTATTACTAGAGCTCTTAATACACGTGAATTCACGGAATTCACGTGTCACGTGTAAAATTCAAAATAAAAACGTATATCTTTAACTTAATACTGTACTAATAATATTTTATTAAAACTTCAAGTGTATAACATAAAATTACTAATTTTCATCATTATGAAAATGGATTTTTACTTGGATAAACACGTATTTCACGTGTACACGTGAATTCCGTGACACGTGTTTTAAGAGCTCTAGTTATTACCCAGGAACTCCAAATAAGAAATTTAATTTTACTATTTTTTGCATATTTGAAGTATTTTAGATTTTTAATGCTATTTTTGAAGTTTTAATGATATTTTTTGCTAATATACATGATTTTATGCTTTATTTTGTATTTTTCATAAATCTCGTTTATATTGAATGAAAAATAATATTAATTTATGTGAATCCAAAAATTCCCACATTTTCGTTTTATATTGATAGTTGATGAATAATATGGTATTTACTATTTAACATGTTACTAAAATCTATTTTTAAGTAGCCTGGTGATATAAAATATATTTATACATTTATATCCTCTTATTTATTTTATTTATTTTTATTTTATTATTGTTCTTCAATATATTGTCGTCTATCGTACGTATTTAATTATTTCAGTATCAGTTCTCCATATTTTTTGATTTTGTTTCATATTCGATTATTACTCGATTGTGTTTTATGTTTTTTCTGTTTGGATACCGTAAAATGCCGAAAGTTAAAACATCGAACTATTCGAGAATTAGATATTTTGTATCTGAGTTTGGTGCCGATGATGTTTATACGATTGACGCAAGTATTCTATTTTGCAAATTGTGAGAATGTAAAGTTAATAATGAAAAAAAATTTAATGTTAATCAAAGTTTAAAAACGGAGAAACAATTACATACAAACGATGTCTTCATTCAAAGTAAAACAGATATACATACAACAAGACACATACATAAATTGTTTGAAATTATTAACAGAAGATGGTCATTTTAGTTTTTTTTATTAATGTATTACTTCATAAAATAATATAATACATTTAATAAAATTTTGACTTATATTTTTTTTCTTATTTTTGTTGTTTTTAGAGCATATTTATAGAGTATATTTTAAGACTTTTTTAATCATATTATAGCGCATATTTTAGTATTTTCGGTGCTATTAAATCCGAACTCTAGTAATAACAATAAAGGCTATATTAATTGATGAGGTCTGAACTATGGATGTTATAAAAAAAATAAATACTTAACACAGGATGTATACTATAGTTAATATAAATATATACAATATCAAAGTTCTCATCGGTCACATTATTATCTTTAACTTTTAAATTTTAATATAAAAAATGTAATAACTAGTCAATATCTCCTAGTTATATATAATATATTTATGATTATTTAAGCTAATTTTTATTTATTTATTTTTACTTGAAAGAATAGTTAATGTATTTTATTTAAACGTAACGCAACGAGTAAAATGTATGATGAAGATAAACAGTTTTCAATGAATTTATACATTATTTACCATTTAGTTTAATGGACAGAAACGAGACTTTTATGATCTTATATGTATTAAATAGCAATGAAAACCACAATTAAGTATTTCCTATTGCCATGGTTTTTTCTATTAATACTAAAGTTGTGTTATATAGATTGTATATGTAATAGTCTTAAAACAAATAAAGCATACCTATACTTGCTTAATAATTACGATACACAATGTACTATAAAAAAGATACATTAAACTGTGTATCACTAAAAATTAACAGTTTTAAAGGTTTTAAATTCAATATATTTTTATAATAAATTTCTATATTCTTTCTTCTAACAATTTCTTAAGCTTCAGATGTTCACACCACGAACATTTAATTAAGAATTAATTTTTTACAGCGATTGAAAATATTCAAAAGACATTTACGTAATAAAATTAATTATTCACAAAATAAAAAATAAAAAATTGAAATATTAACACGTTGAGTTCCGCTAGTATTATCACTTATCAGTGCCCAGCCTATGTTAGCCAAAATTACGTTCGATCGAATAGTGAATACACAACACGGTTATAGATAGAGCCGTTCTATGCAGACACACAATACACGTCGACCTTAGCAACATGCAAAATATATATTTGGTTGAAAATTAATTCGAATGTATGGTAAATATTATTATATTTACGCTTACTACCTATATAGGTATATTTGTAAATGTATTTTCACAATAAAAGATTATATGGTGGTTATGATAAGCGACAACGTCATAATTTCAGAAAAAATATAAATATTAATGTCTGGTGTATACAGTTATAATTTTATATATACTTTATTCATTGTATGATTTGTTATTAATATTTGGAATTTAAATATATGTGTAGCTGAAAATTGGTATTCAAAATATAAGTAAGGTTGGTTGAGAGGAGTGTGGTAGGTAAGGGCGCCCATAGGAAAATTCTCAAGAGGGGGACAACATTTTAATTTATCAATCTATTTATAAATAAGTATGATCCACGCTATAGACGGGGGCTTACCATTTTACATTATACTATTCATTATATATATATCAAACTGGAAGACTATAAAATAATAATTATTTAATCAATTTACCATAAAAGTTATTTATTGAAATTTTTATTTAATTAATAATATAAATTGGACACTTAAAACATTAGTTATATTTATTAAAATATTAATTTACAAATATTATATAAATATTATGGTTGTACACACACACACATCTACATACCGTATATCTGGAAATACACAATATTTTAAAAATTGATAATTATCCATAGAATAGAAACGAAAAAACGTATTGTTATTTATAGCTAGAGATGTTAAAATACAGTATTTATTTTTTGTATAATACCGTATTATACCGGTAATGTACCAGTATTATACCGTATAGAACCTTGCAATACCTTAAATTATAAGGAATTTAACAAAGGTTATAATCCCGTTGTAAATTATGAAATATAAATTATTTTAAAAATACTTAATACTTTTATAGTTGTATACTATCTCATTTTACCCATATATTTACAATATTTGAATATTATATTAGTACAATTAATTGATTTCAGGGGCAGATCCAGAGGGGGTCGAAGGGGGCGATCGCCCTCCCCCGTTCAACGTAACAGACTTTAGTTTTTGACATAATTACTTCAAGGGTAAATAGGGAAATCTTAAACTATTTTTTTATACCAAACTTGTGCTGGTATAATGTTATCACTTATATTTATTATTTGGTGATATACGGATATCACAGTTATATATTACGACACGGTTTAAGATATACAGGTTAGCTATCGTATATCTAAATTGCATTGATAACTGACGGTCAGAATGCGTTACAGGTTTAGTACACATTTTCGCCACATCTCTAAAGCTTTAGTAGTATGTAGTGCTATATAATTACAGTAATTATATGATAAATTTAAATAATTTACTAGAAGCTGAGCTTATTAATTTAAAATCAAAATGAGGATTAACCCATCAAAATTTACATTAATTTAAATTTCTATACATAGTAGAAAAGTGCTTTGCAGAACACTGCAAACAAAACAACGTATTTGATCTAACAGTTGAAGATGCTTTAAATATTTCTTTTACATTTCCATGCTTTGAACAAATAATATAATCATTTCTATTCTGATACATTTCATTGTGATGCGAATGCGCCACTTTGCAGTTTAAGATTATCGCCAAGAAATTAAAAAGAGTAGACAAAAGAAAAAAATAGCCTAACTAATCTCAACTTAATAGTATAGATTTTTGATTATTTTTTTATTAATATATTGTTTCTTGTGTTATTTAACCGCTTTATTAAAAAATATTATCAATTTATTTAGATATTTAATTTTAATTCGTACAGAAAATTCCTATGATGTTTAAATGCTGGTAATCACTTATTTTATTAATATTGAAAATAAACTCACTTTGTCAAATTTTGAGATACGCACTGTTGCAGTTTAATCGACGATATCAAAATTAATA